AAGCCCTTCCGCTCTAAACGACGGGCCGTAGCACGGTGGGAAGCCCGACAATACTTTTTAGATTGAATTTGGATTTTTCTCTCTTCGCGCCTTGCCCGCGCGCATTCTGCGAGGCGCGAAAACAATCGATTTGCTTCATCGGACCATCACGGGGGATTTCAGTTCCGTCTGTGTCCCCACACTCAATTTCCAAAAATCCTTGGCACACCCCATCTTGCTGTTTTTCTGGGCCTCTTTCCGCACAACTAAAACTCCGAATGAAAGTTAGCACAGGGCGTGAGGTTGGTATCAGAGCCGACACGTGTCGGTTCTGATGATAGTAAGTCGAACTGGCGAGAGGTAGGAGAGACCCTCAACTAAATCGTCAGGATCGCCCAGTAACCAGGTCTCAGTCTAGTGCGGTTGTACCAGCAATACCAATGGTGGACGGTACTAGGGTGATCGTTAGCATCCCTGCCCCCTTCCTCTTCTTCCCTAACCATACCCATCCTGAGGCTTGGCTGGAAGTTGTCGAAGCTCAAAACTACAACGCCGCTGATCTTCCCCGCGTTCTGACGTTGCTACTCCGCAATAAGTCGCATGACTGGTTTAGAAAACATATGTGGGTAGATTGGAACACTTTCAAACAAGCCTTTTTGGCTCGATTCGATACGGTCAGTGAAGATGCCGTCTGGTACTTGCTCAAAAATCGGCCACAAGGACCAGGGGAATTGTTGTCTGATTTCGTCGATCGATTTCAAACCACGTTGGACAAAATCCGGGCGGGACGAGAAATCCGCTCGAGATTTGTTCATCGATCACCAGTTATCGGCCATAATCACTAAAGCATTGGAACTGGATCTGGCTGATATAAAAAAATATATCAGCCAGGGAGATGAAGACATTACAGATACCATACGGGATGTAACGGCCAAAAGGCAATCATGGTTGCAGGCGGTCGAACGGTTTTATCCCCACCCCGACCATGACCTTCCAGGCGGGATCGTTTCCGATATCCCGACTGCTTCTCCTCCCGCTCCCCCGGTGAATCAATCGATAGCAGCCGTTAGAAGTGGAATCTCATCCAAACCGCCTTCGCCGGCAATAACCAACCTACACCTTGCTCAGATGATCCATACGGCCACTACCAAGCAGTCCGAATGGATGAGCAACTTGATCCAAATGCAGGCCGCCCATATGGAACGAATGGAGCAGATGATGAGCTGACTCATTAAGCCTAACCCGGCACCTCTTCGGCCTGCCCCTTCATCGCTTCCGCTCTTACCTGCCCCACGTGCTTCAGGGTTCACGCCCCAGTTCCCTCATCTAGCTAATCCAGTAGGGAAGATCGAATGCTTTAACTGCAAACAGCCCGGCATTTCGCTCGTGACTGCCCGCAGCCGAAACGAAATCAGCCTCCCCCTGCTGCGGCCCCCGTCGTCCTTAATCAAGGACGAGTGGGCGCTTCGATGGATACGGACCAAGGAAGAGAACTCGTCGCATATGCCCCAGAGCCGCCTTCCCCTTCGACGACAATGACGTTGGCATCAGAAGCTTCTTCCTTTGACGCTGCTGACATAGTCGATCCCCTCAAATATCTTCACCTTGCAGGCATGATCGGAGCAATCCTATCGGTCCCGGATGATCTCGAATGGGTCTATCGCTAATCCAATCCTGGACCGCAGTTTCGGACAGGAGATATTGATGTACTGAAAACTCTCAAGCAAATAGATATTCACGTGGCCGTCCCAGTGGGACATCTGCTCAACATATGTGAAGCGGCGAACGATAAGCTTCTACAACATTGCCAGAAAAATCAAAAGCGTTTCACCTATCAACACATACAACGAATGTTGAAGAATAAAGAAGAAAGCGAGGAAGTTGTGCCCCCCGAATCGGACACAAAAGAACCTGAACCCGAAGCTGCACGTATAGCAGCAATTTCTTTAGCAGAAAAGGATCACTTCGTACGAGCTCGGCCGGTACTATGGAAAAGTGCGGAATGTGACTGTGAGGTTTGGGGCAAGCCGTTTAATGCCCTTATCGAACACAAGATCTTGTGCAGTAGCCATATCATTGGATACTGTAAAAAAGACGGGACGACTTGGATCCATTCTTCCTCAATTTGGCAAAGACAATTATGTCTCTGCCGACGAGGAAGCAATGAACATCGTAGGCATTATCGAGAACGTGGCTGTAAAAGTTGAACGAGTACACGTCCTTGTTAACGTGCTCGTAATAGATGTACATTCCTATTCTGTGTTGTTGGGATTACCTTGGGCGATGGCGGTGGGCGCACGTCTGCATTTCGATTCGAAGCAACTGGTGTTCACCCAAACTGGAGGAAAACCTCAAGCTGTTCCTTTGCGAGTTTCCACCCGAATAATAAAACGGGTCCCTAACCCAGCCCAAATAGGGATGATCCGATGCATTGATTCTGAGGAGTGCTCTCCCTCGCGCCTCGGGGATGGAATCAGGGAGCAAGAATACGAAGAAGAGATGCCTAGTGAATAGGAATGGAAGCATCCGGTTGAACTTTTTGAACATGAGACCCCCGAAGAATTTCAAGTGTGCCCCGACATCGCCCGAAGCTTCCACGTGGATTCCGAAGACAGTGCATCCACGTCTCTGACAACCCAGGTCAGTCCTTCAGTCCTCCTAGGGGAACCCATATTACAAGTTTTCGACTTGGCTGATGATTTGGAACCCCCTCGCACCCTGTACGAGGGAGCTCACTCCTTACGAACGCGTTATTAGCAAACGGAACAGTATTTGGATGTCTCTGTTTTTCCGCCCAGATCGTTACTAACGACAGGGGCCACCATCGCCTTGATTAAACAAGAGGCGAAAGCACCGGTCAGTGACGTACCTAATCTGATGCAAGAAATGACGGATCTAACAGGGCTAACTGTGGAACCGACCTCGGTTGATTCAGAAACTGACGCGGAAACTAAAGAAACAAAAATGATCAGCCCCGCTGAGTCCCAGATGATAGCAACTGTCTTCTCTGTTCGCACTAGTAGTTTCGTTTTCTCCAGTGTCGGTGAGCGGCGGGAACGGCCGATTGATTGGGTCGATATGCCCCTCAAGATTTTCGGGAAATTAACAATTCCCCTCCCGAGTCACGTTCCCGCGGAACTTCGGAAGTCTTTAATCTGTGTGTTAAATGGTTACACAGAAGTGCTAAGCGTGCAGGATAATGATATCGGCTTAACTAATATGATTGAGCATGCCATCCTCACGGGAGATCATCCGCCCATTAGCTGCGTTCCCTACCGATACTCGCCAGCTCAAAGAGCGGCCGCTTTTCAACGGATTAAGGAGTTTGAAGGTAATGGATGGATCGAACCTGCTATCGGTCCATGGTCTTTCCTTGTAGTGATCGTACCCAAAAAGGCTGGAGGGATTTGCATTTGCATTGATTATCGAAAGTTGAATGATATCACGATCAAAGATGTGTATCTCTGGAATGGATGGGGAACGTGAGCAGATCGGATCCAATCGTATCTCTGGAATGGATGGGGAACCGTCAACCACGAACCTGATCCGTCAGTTTTACACTTTTCCAAATGACCGTTGATCCATCGATAGTCCCGAGATCTCTCGGTTGCCCATCCACCTGGCCCAAACCGCTGTGAATATTCTATCCTGTTAGTTTTAATTGACCATTTTTCCAAATACATCGAAGTCTATCCCTGTAAGACCCGAAAGGCCGCAGAAATAGCCACGTACATCGAACAATTCCTCTATACCCACCTAGACACGGAAGAAATTCTAACCGACAATGGGTCGGAATTCAAAGGTGAGGTAGAAGAACTGCTTGCGCGAAGGGGCGTCATGCTCCGACATACGGCACCCCACGTGTCCCAGTCGAACGGGTTGGCCGAGAATGCCAACCGTATGATTAAAACCGCCCTTCGCAGGAACTTAGCGGCACAGGACACGCGTCCTTGGCCCGAGATCGTATATCAGATCGTTGGGATCCACCGGGCCACCCCTCATGAGTCTACGGGGCTTACCCCCTTCCAGCTTCGAACTAATAGCCTCCCCTGTGTCGATTACCGGGGTAATTCAGAAATTGTCGAAGCAGGGGGTAGGGACACGCGTGCAGCTCTCAAGGCCAAGGCCAAAAGGTACACCGAATTAATGGAACGGGCCGTCCCGAAGCTAGCCCGAAAAAGGCAAAGGATGACCGAACTAGCCCACGGTAGACAGGTCCGTAGCTACGAGGCTCGGAATGGAAATGCTGGGCCCCAGTACCAATATAAATTAGGGGACCTAGTGCAGGTACGTAAATGTGTACGCGACTGGAAACTCGCTCCCAAGTTCTCTGGCTGTTATCGTGTTGTCGAGCTCGGACCCAACGGCGCCAACACGGTGCGCATCGCGCCTGAGGCTAGTGCCAGCCATAGCTCTGTCCCCATCGTCCGGCATACCTCCTACCTCTGTCTCCTTCCTCCTTCCGATCTTCCTCCCTCTTCTTCCTCGGAAAGCGAGGAGAACGACGACGATCTAACTCTCTCCCGTCTTTCTCCCTCTTGTCCTTCGTCTTCCTCTCCGACCTCGCCATGAGTTTTATCGCGGAGCGGGTCCTTGACGCTCAGCTGTTGCAGCCACGTGGCCATATCTCGGAGATTCGCCAAGTTTGTCACCCTCGGCTCAATGCGGATCTTCGACGCTTGATGCGATTCTTCTACGACGAAGGTATTTGTGTCACCGCCGCGTTTCGAATCGAAGGAAGTCCTCACGCAGTAGTATTCGCGGATGTGACCGCAGCTCATCGGCGAGCGGGTCCCAGAATGAGCCACGTCACCACCGTAGCGGCATTCACTGGCGACATCAGCTCGGTCAATCCGTTGTGGCATACCACGATCTTGACCTCGCTGCGTGAGTGGACGGAGCAAGTGTCCAACGTGTGGCAGCACGTCCTCGCCCGGCAGGGGTATAACATCATCCCGATCTTTACATCGGATCTCGGCGATATCCGCCGATCACCGCGCGAGCGGCCAGTTGCGATCCCAACCCTCGTCCCCTTCCTGCATTCCCAATGAGCCGCGCCGATCTTCTCGCTCCTCTCTCTATCTTTGGTCTTCCCGCTCTCTTCCCCACCTTCTGGCAGTCTGATCTTCATCCTTCTCTTTCCTTCACGTTCGAACCTCTTTCAATCCCTCTTATCAATCCTGGACATTGGCGACTGTGGCGCGAAACTTTTGAGGAGCTGTCTTTTTGCTTGGCCAGAGTACAGGTAACGTGGACGGGCACTAACGAGCATCCCGCGTGGATCGAGAATCCGGAGCTGCTGATCATACAGGCTTGGGGGACTAACGTGGAAGGAGATCTTCTTGGCTTTCTCTTCGGATCGGTACGACCGGGTCGACGCCACCTGATTGCGCAGGAGCTTATTGCACCGATCGTGCAATTGGCGGACGACCTCTCGCCCGACATCTATTTTCAGAGCGACGACAGTCCTGCTCCGTACATTTTCGAGCGATCATTGGATCCGTACCTTCAGTGGACTGCGTGCTTGGAGGAACCCAGGGACGAGGATACGCTACCATCGCGGCAGGAGTACCTGAAGCCGTATGAGATCATCCCTCACGCCTTCTATCCGAGGGCAGAGGAAGTGGTGATCGACGACGACGAAGAAGAAGACGACGACGAGGAAACATCGGAGGAGGGAAGCTACAGTGAATATAGCGAGGGAGAGCTGAGTGAGGAAGGAGAAGAAGAAGAAGAAGGAACCGAGTCTGAGTGGGAAGCCTTGCCAGAGGAAGCGACGGGCACGGGAACGGAGGCGAAAGATCCGGAAGCAGTGCGAAAGCGTGAAGAAATTGCCACCGGGAAGCGCCAGCTGGAGTTCGCCAGCGAAGTTAGCCTGCGCATCGGTAGCGATCCGACCAGGGATCCAGAGCCGCCGAAGCCCGAAGATGGCGACCCTGCAGCCGCCACCTCAAGTATCGCGTGACGGAGACGACGCCGATCCCCCTCCTCCTCTAGCCCCACCCGTCCCCCAGTTCGCCCACGTACCGATGCGGGCGATAGGCCTTCGTGCTCGGACGCTGTCCCGCCGACCCCTTGATTTCCTCACCCTCGAGCAGATCCGTACCCCCGTCACCTTCCCTTCTCATCCGTTCCATCCCCATCTCTTCCACGACTTCTATTCTACCCGACTACTCGCCACCGTTCATCCCCACGCCTCCCTTCAATTCGCTGCCCCCACGTTCTGCTGGCATCTCCTGATATTCAGCGCTGCATGGGAGCGATACAACGTGGTAGAGGTTTACTGCGTTGCCACGGGAACAATCCCCGCTAGCTGCCACTTCGAGATCTTTCGAGCGGCGCTTTTCCTCACCCTCTCCTCCTTCTATCGCGACTACCTCGCTTCTCTCCCCGCAGCGGCGATCACTTCCCTCGCTTCCACCGGATCATCCGATATCAGGAACTTCCGGTGACGATGGAGGGGATGAACCGCTTCCTACCCCCAGTTCCTCCCCGTCGACCCCGTGAGATCCCCCCCATGTACCGCCTCTATTGGCCCATTCCAACTAGGAGGTAGATCCCCGATCATCTGCCTATTCCCCCTGCCCCCCCCCCCTTTTTCTCTCCTTTTTTTTTCGTCACGAATCAGTAAGCTTCGCGAAGATCACGCCATCGACGATGACGTCAACTTACGCTCTGATTCGACGAACTGGGGTGCAGAGCACACGGAGATCAAGTGGACCATGATGGCGTCACCTGGACAATCTGTACAGTGCAAAGGGCAGGAGGTTGCATATGGCAGGGCTGCAGAGATCTTGCCACGGATGTTGTCGCCATCTTATCCGCGGCCCAGTTATCGTTCCTTGTACTTCTTTTGCTCTGATGATACGCTTGGTTCCTCATGCATCACTCTGTTCTCCCCTCCATTTTTTTCCGCCATGACATGCAATCAGGAGATCGCATAATTTTGGAACCCCCTGCGCGTCACATTTGTGACGAGCTACTTCCTGACCCCGTGCTATCTTTCGTACCCCTTCTTTTGCTTGTATCATACCAACCCCATTAAAAACCGCTTTTCATTTTCTTGTTTTCGGATGCCGCATTTCCTTTCTTTCTGGAAGCTTTTTGATTTCCGGGTTCTGCTTTTCCTTTTTGCAAGTCAGGAAATACATGGGAATTTGAGTGCGCCTTAGCCAGCGCACTGGGAATTGGGTTCGGCAGTTGGGAAATCCGGGATAAGCGGGACTTCGACGTGTCCTTTTTTGAGTGTGTGAATGTTCTTGGTCGCGTCGGAAAAACTCTCGGAATTTTGGCGAGAATACGAATAGGCATAGCACTTTCTTTTCCCGCGTCGCTTTTTCACGCGCGGACATGGTGATTTCAATTTTGAATTAGGATAGAAGCAAGTTGTAACTGTTTCGGTGTCTTTTTTTCTCTTTCTGTTGACGGCGCCGCGCATGCAAAGCTTTCTCCTCTCTGTCCCCCGCATCGCTCCCTCCCGTGCCTCCTTCCCCCTTCTCCCTCCTCTTTCTCTCTCCCCRTAACTGTTTTCTTTTTCTCTTTCTCTTTCTCCCGCTCGCCAATCAGGTGCGTGGATCAATAGGATCTTCCTATTGCACGACGAATCTGATTGGTTAAACCTTGAGTTTCGAGGGATCAACATGGCGTTCGTAGAACACTCTTCTCAAAGTCTTCTCCTCCTGCTTCTCCTCTTACACCTCAGCTTTCCCGTCGCTTTCCCCCCCTTCTATCTCCCTTGTCGCAACTATAAAACCCGCAAGCACGTCCGCAAATCTCTCTTACGTTCTCGACTCCTAAGCCAGCTTCCGGGAAGCAGCGGCTAGGAAGAGTGGGTTGATGCGAGTCGGAAAGTCCTGTCGGGCTGATGATAGGCTGGCCGGTTGCGCGCTTGATCGCCACGACGGACTGTGGG